AAATTCCAAACATCCTGTACACACACACACACACACACACACACACACACATATATATATATATATATAATTTGAAGTGTAAGTATTAAACGCATTTCTAAATTTAATTTTCTTTTTATAGGGACTGTCCAATATACATCCTTAAATGGTTAAAAAAATATTTTGAAAAATTTCATATAACTTTCTTAAAGAGATCCTAAAATCATTTGTATTATTGACTAATTATAATTTTTGTATAACAATTTTTTCCTCTTTTACAGATTCGAAAAACCTTTTCCAGAATTAAAGTGTACGTCTATACGTTAGTATGTGTCTATGAGGTGAAGTTTATGCTGAAAACGCCAAAATATTTTTCTTAAGATTTCAATTTCGAAATTTTTTATTCTCGTAATAAATTCCACCTCACAGACACGTATTAATGTGTACATTTTAATTCTAAAAAAGAATTTTTGAATCTGTAAAAGAGGAAAAAGTAAATTCTTGTAAAAAAACGTAATTTCGTTTTAGAGGAGAAATATTCTTTTCTATACTTTGAATCTTAATTCCACAAACTCAGTATTGTTCGTTCAAGTAATCTGAATCCCGCCTCATGCTTATTTTCAATCTACAAGCTGTAAAATTTTTATATCAAGCAAATGTTAACCTCAAGTAATAGTTATATAAGTGTCAGAAAGCGAATTTTTTTATTTTTTCAGATTTTTTCATGTTTTCCAGGATTTCTTTTTATGCATTCTGTAAAAAAAATTTTGCAATCCGTGAAGCCAATTCAGAGATTTCTCCTAAAACATAATTGTGTAAGGATTTTAGAATCTTCTTAATTATTCTAAATAAAGGATTTATACATAATTTAATAAATTAATTTTTCAGAAGCAACATGGTTCATTTGTTTTCAAGATATTCATAATTTAAAAAATCGCCTGGATAAAAATTATGCCCGTTTGCACGTAAGGGCTTAATGATAAAATTTATTCAAATCATGATGAAAGAATTATGATGTATTCAGTTTGCAAGCGTCTCTCTCTAATTCTCTGTCCTCTCGCTTGTTCAGTAATCGTTCAGATCCCAATTTAGCCAACCTTAATTATTTTCGTCGCATGCACATCATTTAAATTCGATTTTTTTTTGGCTACGGTCGATTTGAATTTGCGGTCGCTTTCAATGCTTTTCAATACTTCTATTTTTATTTTATGTCTAATGAACGATAAAGACAGAATGATGATTACAAGCGCTTAAAGCGCGTGAGCATCCAAATCAACCAGCCTTTATGAGGTACTACCTAGTAGTATCAATGTTTGTTCGCGACGCATGCTTCTGTCTAGCTCTTATTTACTTTAACGCGCTCGTTGGAGTGAGTAGGAGCTATAGGAATTAAAATAATTTCAGAAATATATACTCAAAATATCTATACTTTTTTTTTTAGAATTTTTCATAAATATAAATTCTGAAATATTGTAAGATTTATATAATATAAAAGAATTTGAGATATTTTCTAAACAGTTACAAAATAGTACAGAAATTCTAAAAATTCAGAATTTTTTATATGTGAATTATAAAATATTGTAAGATTCGTATAATTTTCTATAAGTTTTTATAATTGTGTATGTATATGAACATATTTTATATATAATTATATCATGATGTCTACCACACACGCACGCACGCACATACACACAATTATATATAAAACATTTTTTCCCGGGTAAATGAACATATCAATAAATAAATAAATAAGTACAACTTGTAATAACAGTACTTATATCAAGATATAACTCGGCTGAATCCTCATTGTATTTACGTAATTATTTCATTTTCCTAGAAAACATAATAGAAATCTAAAGAATAATTGAATAATTCCAATAGGAATCCATTTCGAATAATTTCGAATATGTACTCTAATAAACTTGTATCATGAAATCATGTTTGACAATTGATGTTGCCCCACGCTTCGTAACGAAAAGAGAAAAGGATATGTAGCGGGATCTGACGAAGATGCATAGAAATCAGTTGTAGCAACATCATTTATTTCTTCGCAGTTGGCAGGCTTAGGTTATAAACTAGGGATATACCTAGGATATGGTTTGCCTAATTAAGCGCACCATGGGAACTTTTCAGCAAGAGACACAAATTGACACAAGAGTCATTCTGTCTTTGTTCAATAATCAGTAAGAAACAAAGACAGAATGACTCTTATGTCG